GCACCGAGACAGCAACCAAGAGGCCGCCGTAGCTCGGGTGAAAGATACAACGAAAACCTGCCAGGCTCCCGGGTTGGACGGCCAGGAGCGAGCCCAAATCCTGACGATGTACCGTGGCGGAGTTTCATTGATGGTATAGCGCCCGGCTTGCATTCAGACAAATACACGCTAATAGACGCTGTGACAGACGACCTCCCAGAGATCCGGGACAATATCCGGAAAGGTTTCGTCGAGACACAGAAGACGGTCAACAGCTGGATCAGTGCATTCAAGAAGAAAATCGACGGTGAGGAGGACGACGACGTCGAATTTGGACAGGCTCAGCCACCTCTCCCGGCTCGGCCGACACAACAGTCGCCTTTTACAGGCCGCCGAAGTGCCGAGATGCGTCGCAGTGCAGACCTCCAACGCTATGATGCGGACATGCAACCGATCGGCGACGACTTTTCCAAACTGGAACTCCGAGACGGCGACGCACCGCCACGGACGTCAAGTCGACCACTTGCAAACCCCAACCTGCTTAAGTCTCAAGGACCAGATCGTCGCCCCTCACCAGGTACGAACCGGAAAGTATCTTTCCAGGATGGCCCGCCCGAGGAAATCCGCGATATGTATAGCGCGTCGCCGAAACCGACAACTGCCGCAACCACCAAGTCGAGCAAATGGCAACCTCTACAGAGTGTGGATCCGAGCCCGGTGACGGACAATGATCCATTCAGTCTAGGCGATAGTGACGAGGAGAAGGATGCGAAAATTATTACTTTGAAGGATGACGAGGACGAAGGGAACAAAGTCGATGACAAGAAGGCGACCGAGCCAGCCACGAAAGAAAGTACGGCTGCGGAATCGAAGTGAGACCAGGAGGGAGTGATACTGCAGGAAGTTGGGGGCCAATCTAAAAAGCAGAGTCGACATGTTTTGACTTTGGAGCGGCAGTGAAGCCACTTGGGGTCTGGCCTGATTGAGCAAAATAGGCCTCCTATCTGAGCAAGAAATCCTGTTTAAAAGGGATCTTGGTGAATGCATCGAGCGACGTCTATTCTGTCTTCACCATCTGCTATCTCCTTTCTGGACATCTCCGGCCTTGCCCGTGCTCCCGATGGTATCCATCATCCACTCGATCCTCTCCTGGATCAACCTCGTGCCCTCCTCCATGAATTCAGTCAAGGGTGTGCGCCCGGCCTTTTCCTTGGCGTAGTCCTCATACTTCCACAAGACGATCTGGTTGACGTTTAACCTGGTCATGCCGGCGGCGACGCACTGCTTGAAGATGTCGGCGGTGAACTCGTTGGTGCCGTGCATCACGAGCGTCACCCGGCCCTTGGCGGCCTCCTGGATGGAGGCCAGCCGGGGGAAGTCCAGATGGATGTTCTCGACGCCGTTGTAGGGGCCGTGGACGTTCCCGATGGCCGGGGCGAGGAAGTCGATGCCCGTGTCGATGAACTGCAGGGCCTCGTCCGGCGTGGTCAGGATGCCCTCGAGGTCGCCCGTGTCCTGCACGCCGGCCTCGCCGCCGTTGATGCGGCCGGGCTCGGCCTCGGTGGCGATGCCCCGCGCGTGGCAGTACGCGACCAGCTCCTTGGTGCGGGCCAGGTTCTCGGCCTTTTCGTAGTGCGACATGTCGACCATGATGCTGTCGAACTTGCCCGTCTGTGCGGCCCGCTTGATGGCCGCCTCGCTCTGCGCGTGGTCCAGGTGCAGCGACATGGGCACCGTGGCCGAGCGGCACACGTCCGCGGCCAGGTTCACCAGGTTGTCGTCGGCGTATTCCTGCGCCCAGGGAAACAGGAGGATCTGGCACGGCGACTGCTTCGCCTCGGCCGCCTTGCGGCACGCGATGATCGCTTCGAGGTTGTAGCACACCACGCCCGGCACGCCGTAGTGGCCCGCCTCGGCCGCCTTGAGGATGCGCACGCTGATGTTTTGCGACAGGTCCGGCATGGTGTCAGACCTGGGGACGGAGGAGGTTGGAGGTTGGGAGGTTGGAGGGAGGAATGAGGAAGGAGGAGGGAGGAAGAAGGTCTGTCAGTATTTCTGGATCGTCGGCGCTGAAGAGATGGTGGTGGCGGTGGTGCTTCTGGGTTCGTTCTTCTCTAACGGTGCAGTACTGTGTATGAGTACCTTACTACTGTAGTATGAGTATGAGTATAAGTGTGAGTGTGTACTCTGTACGTGGGAAGATCAAGTATAGTCAAGGCGAAAAGAATCTTGAAACTCAAAGGTTGAAGTCTCAACGCCCAGGTTTTCGAAAATCCAATTCAACGCAATGCCATCCGAAACAGGAAGACTCTCGGCTCCGTGCCCTGAGCGGCGTTCCCGACATTGCAGACACGTATTGCAGATGCCGTCAATCATGGTCGGCAACATGCCGTACGAGTACGTTTCGCGGCCAGGCCAGTCAAACTCGACTGACGCACGAGGACGAGCATGGACGAGTAGGAGTCCCCACCCCGTTCCTCGTCGAAAGGAAATGCATGGGATGAGGGAAGAATGATGTCGTCGGCCTGTTCTCCGCATGAAGAGGAGGGGCAACACAGTCACAATACGAGTAGTGTGACAGGGTCCGGCAGGGGTCATGGCGGGGTGATGCGTGGCCGTCGCTGTCGCTGTGATTGTCAATGTCGGCTATTGAACCTTGCAGCATTTCGCCCCTGACTTCGGCATGTCGGCTTGCATAGACAGTATACAGTACGGAGTATCTTACTCTACCTCCAATTTACAGTACGAGACGCCTCAAGTCCCAGAGGGAGAGGCGTGATGCTTCTACTACTTTTCTGCCTCTGCTTCTGCTCGCTCATTTCTGTGGCCCTTCCATCTGGTCCGTTACTGGTCTGCATTGGCTGTGTCTTCGTGATGCGGGCATAGGATGACCGGCGTTGACCGGCATTCATCGGCTTTGACGCCGACACCGAAACCTAGGGGCGTGAAAGTGCAAATATGCGATAGGCACAATGCGCGATGCTGTGGCAAGGCGCGGTTGACTGTGTACCTGCTCCGAGACAGCAAGAAGCCTTTACGACGTAGGATGGCACGAATGGTTCAGCCCTGCCTACCTACCCAGGAGTACTGGGTACAGCGATTACTCGGAGACGACAATCTGAACTAGGATCCGTGATGAAGAAGTTCGAATTAAACTTTTATACTTGGATCAAGCAGTATCAGGCAATTACTGAGCAAACAAAGGGCCATGCTTTGAGGTTGTGCGCAGGATCCGGCTGTAGCTCCTCCCCCTCCCCCCTGCCACAGCCCTGGCGACTCCCTGTCTGCTCAGCCTCGTCTTTCAACCCTCAGCTACCGTATTGCATCTACCCATACCTTCTCCCACCCTCTTTATTGCCCCTTCATGCCAATCTCTCCTGCTCCTCCATATACTCGATATACTCCCTCACCGACTGCTCGAAGCTGTCGGGCTTCTTAAACCCGAGCTTGTAGGCCAGCGAGTTATCATACGTGACCGCCCAGGTATACAGGATCTTGGCGATCGGCTCGTCATGCTCCTCCTTGACGTACTGGAGCTTGTCCTCGCCGCCGACCTTGGCCAGCGCGTCGAGCATGTCCTGGATGGTCACGACGTGGCCGGGCGCGTTGATCACCCGCCGGTGCGAGGGCAGCGCGTCCGACGGCAAACTGAGACAGTAGACCAGGTTGTGGATCAGTGTTTTCGGGGACGTGACGTGCGAGGGAAACGCCCGGTCCTTGACGGGGAGCACGCACTCCTTGCCGGCCAGCGGCTCGCGGATGATGCCCGAGATAAACGCCGACGCCGCGGGCGCGGGCTTGCCCGGCCGCACGGTGACGGTGGGGAAGCGGATGCAGAAGGCGTCGATGAAGCCCTTGCGCGTCATGTCGTTGATGAGGATCTCGCACATGAACTTGGCCGCGCCGTACGACCCCTCGGGCGTGGGCAGCACGTCCTCGGTGATCACGGCCGGCAAGGGCCGCCCGTACACCGCGCCGCTGGACGAGTAGATGACCCGGAGGCCCGGGCGCACGTGGCGGATCGTCTCCAGCAGCAGCCGCGTCGATTCCAGGTTGACGCTCATGCCCAGGTCGAAATTGGCTTCCGACCCGGCCGACATGACGCCGTGGAAGATGTACGCGGCGTCGAGGTCCGGCGTGACCACGCTTCGGTCCTTCAGGAGGTCCGCCTTGACCGTCGTGGCATTTTCAGGGTGTTTCGCCCCCTTGGGCACCGCCACGTCAAAGATGTCAGTCAACACCACTTTGTTGTCCGGGTTGGACAGCAGTTCCCGCGCGAGGAACTGCCCTATGAAGCCGCCGGCTCCCGTGATGAGGATCTTCATGCTGAGACAGTGGATGAGGTGGAAAACTCTTCGCGTTCGCCCTTCAGCTCTTTGTCCGTGTAGCCTCTGCTGTTGTAGTGATTTGGGCCTTGTTGCTTGAGCCCAGGTATATCGGCCCGCTTTCTCTATAACTGACTCAAGAATGGTCCCGATATATGAGAGGCAATTCTTGGGACTAAGGCGGATTGCTTCATCACATAACATCCGGGATTCCTGCCGTCCAGGCGCTCTGGTTGTTCCAGTCCGGCAAAAGTCACTCCGATGCCGCGTGCCCACACCTGTTTCGTGCCTCCAGTTGGAGAAGAACTGGTCGGAGTGTCGGTAACTGACGCCGGCGTGATGATGGTGGGGGGGTTACAAGAGGCACAAGAGGGGCGACAAAGGCCCTGGAGTCGCTTCGGCCGATCTACGAGCGAGCGAACGAGCTGTGAGCCTGTAACTCCGTAGATATTCGCAGTATGTACCTGAACATTTCCCTCACATATGAAGGTACCAGTTCAAATATTCTATTTTGTTGAAAAAGACCCAACGGTCGGATTCCCTAGAAGAGGGACAAAAGCCCAGAATCCTCCTCTAATCCTTCTGCCATCGTCGTATCAACGCCGCGTCCTTGTTCCTCGACGAGTCGCCGACAATTTAAAACATCAACATGCCGCCAATTTTTCATGGCGCTCATCCTGCTTATGCCCAATACTGTCAAACTGCAAATCCGTCTCTCCTCCCGTGCACATATGGCCTTCTGTCGGGATCAAAGTCCCTGCTTGTCGTGGCAGCCGAGCGTATCAACCCGCTGTTGCCCTTGACGGTGGCCGCTCGACTGATTGAAAGTAGGGCTGCGCGTACCGACCAGTTGACACCATGTCTTATAGACCCAGCCACCGCCTTGGCTGATTGACTTCCGATTATAGGCTTCCTTTTCTCCAGCATGCTTGCCGTTTGGCCGTGCTGAGACTGAGCAAGTGGGGATCTCGCGCGGAGTTTCGCTGTCTGCACGCTTCCTGCCGCTGAGCCAGGATCGGCAACTTCGGGATCAAGCTGGAGCACGACGTGAATCGTTTGCTGCGACGCCTGTGAAGGCAACGACCATCGATTCCTGCTGCCTGGTGATGACGACGTCGGTAGAGGCGGCAGAGGCTTGGTCGGTGCTGGAGGTAGAGGCCAATTCTCGGCCGACCCGACTGCTTTCGGGGCGTTCGAGTCTTCCCTAGACGGTTGTCCAGGACCACCAGATGTAGCAGCAGCAGCAGCAGCAGCAGTGTCCTGCTCCCGGACCTGCACTAGAACAACCTTGCCGTCTCGATCTGACCCCAGTTCAAATCGCCGGGTTCCTTGACGGCCCATGTCTTTCCAGAATCCCCTTTCATGCACCGTTGTTTCGTCACCGCTATACGCCATTCCAATCGCCGCGGCTTCTGCCCTGGTCTCACCAGCAACACTGCTTGAGCCACGCTTTTCCTCTTGATGGGCATCCGAAGCAGTGCCCTCCGTGTCGCCACGTTGTCGTGAATACCGTGCAAGGCTGCCAATCGACCCGACCAAGAACTGACGGAAAAACGGCTGGAGAGCAGGTGCGCTGGCCGCGAATATTCCAACGTAGAGCTCCGCAACCGACCAAATCCAGATTTCCCATAGCAGCCATGTAAAGTCATACGTCTCATTGAACAGCCGGTACGTGAGGACGACCCTGACCACGCCCAAAGCACATGCCAGAAATCCCAAGCCGAACAATCCGTACAAGGCGAGACTCTGCTTCAGCGGAAGCTTCAGGCTGAAAACCAGCAGAAGCGGCAGCAGCGTACTGTATAAGTCACCAAAGGTACTCAGAGCTACGGCCGCTGGGATAGATGCTCCCTCTTTCGCGCAGTAGAAGTTGTGAGTGGCGGCCCACTTTTGGTCGAAAGAATTCCAGTACGCGTCAACCGGACGACAGATGAGAAGGAGTGTCAACGTGAAGGCGAGTAGGTATAGAACGTTGTAGACAATCCCGAGCCAGGTGGCAACCAGGAATCCCTTGTTGAATTTGACACTTAATCGTTGGTAAAACAGCAGCACACTGGTCTTGATCGCGGTTCCGGCAAGAACAAATAGCCACTCGCTGATCCAGACGTTGAGACGGTGCGGCGTCATCACAGATGATGGGACGTCCCATATATGTCGGCCACTGAAATATAGTTCGTTGCCGACCACAACCATGCTGGACATGGCAACGCTGAATACCAGTCCCACGACGACCAGGAGATCATCCCCTCCAGGGGCTCTAGTAATGACCAGGCGCGAATATATCCGAGCAGAGACAACGATTAGCCCGAGGCCGCTGAAGATGATACAGACTTGCTTCAGAGCTGGCCCTCTGGTTTGGGGATTGACATAGTCTGGTCCCGGCCAAGAGGCAATGACTGAGGGAGGAGCTGCAACATCCGTTAACATACACAACTCGCGATCATCGAGAACACTCACGATGCAGCGTATCCGCCATGTTGGTTTTTCCAGTCAGTACTTCTTGACGGCTCCAGGCTGAAGGTGAAACTCAAGGCGACTGATACGAATTCTGGTTCAGGCCACAGTAGTATACAGGAGGAGACAAGCGACCAGAGCACTGTCGGCTGCATACCCTATTACAGCCGTGCTGGCGAGGCCACATAGAGTTCTCGCGTGACAAGAGGCTGAGTTTTCGCAGATCAGAGGAAGCCGCTATTGTCTCGCGACATGAAGACGCCCCACATCTATCAGAGAGATGGGTCCACCTGAATTGCTCTGTTTCCATCAGTATCAAGCCAAGAATCGGCACCGGTGGTCCGGCAGAAGGATTCCGGGGATCAGTCTGGATCATTCTGCCCGAGCCTACAGCTCATATGACACCGAGAGACGAGGGCTCGAATAGATTCGTTTGCGACAAGTCCATCATGGAGCAGTAGATTCACAGTCGATCTGAGGGTCATTGTACGAGTAGCCATCCGAGATCCGGGAAGGATGGTGCTTGATAGACTTTGAGCTAGTAGTTGTCGAAGAAATCAGACTCTGGCTTCAGGGGACAGAAATCTCCCCGGGACGTTCAGACCCCCTGGGCGGAGTGACAGGTGCAAAGCATACCGTGTAAGTGGCGTCGAGGTGTCAGGGATTGGCCCTGCGCAGGCATGAATTTGGTGTAGGCGCGGGAAGACACAGCTTCGTCGGGAAGAAAACGTATCGCATCGAACGGATAGCTTCATAAGAGGTGTTTCTGCTGACGGAATTTGTATTTGTGGCTGGTATGAGGAAGTAGTAGGATTCCGTCGACGCGCTGCACTAAATGATACACCAACTGAACACGCGAAATCCCAACAGACTGTGCGTACTTCGGACTTACTTGTGTCTACTTTTCGGTAGATCGACAGACGGCTTGCCTCAAGTCAAAGCCTGTTTTTGACGTGAAGCGGGGCAGATGCAGTATCGACCATGTCAGGCACCTGCTCGGTCTCCGCGTCGACGCGCTGGCACCCATTGGGAGCATGGTGCTCAACACGCGACGAAAACTTCGAAATCGTCAGGGCTGAAAGGCGCTGGGGGAAAGGACCGTGTCGACGTCGTTTGCCGTTGTCCATGACACGTCCCTCCTCATGCCTGACGAAAGGGAAGGGTGCGTGCACAGTTGTCAGTAAGGATGAATTGAGTTTGAAGTGAACGGAGTCTGAAATGCGGCAACGCGCTACACAAAACTGGCACTCGCGCCTCGCCGATTTGGGAAACAAGCGCAGTCATGAGGAAGAGATCGGTCGCCCAAATGCATTTAGTGTACGGAGTATGAGCTTGATACTTCTCTATCTGTCTGGCCAAAATCAGCGTCGTCACTGCGACATGGTCTAGTCCACTAATGCTTCTCTTGGAGTATGGGCCCGCTTGACTAGAACCCACTTCGAGGGAGGACGAGTTCACGTCAGTTTCGACTTGTTGTAGCCGACTTCTGCACCATGAATCAGATGATCCTAACAAGTCCTCGGGGAAGTTATTAAACCCCGTCTTCCGCGACTCTTGTACGGGATGCAGGCTCGCCGACCAGAGTAGGCAAGGTTCTATCGAGTCGCTACAGTGCCTACCACCTCATGAACGTACGACAGATGTGAGGTGTTCCAGGAACCTCGGCGTCGATTGCGGACCTCAACGGGCATCGCATGCTTTTCAGCGTCGCGTTCATGATGCCCAAGCATATGCACGGTAACATATGGGAAACCGAGACGTGCTGAGAATGCTGCAGACTCCGCAAACACACGCTCTGATACGGGGATAGCGCAAGAAAGCGAGATGCATTTCGACCTAACAAGCGACTTCTGTACAAGATTGCTTGATCTCTGCTCCTGCGACATTGATCAATACCCGACCATATCCATGGCTATTTCCACGCCGACGACAGTATCGCGTCTTTCTGAACCTTCGTCCATTACCCTTCTGTCCTCCAACCAGTTCACAATTTCGCCACAGGCTGTGATGAGCCAACTGTGGTGATTTCGTTGTACAATAGACTGATCACGGCTGGTTAGTATCATTCTGGGATAACAGGACCGTATCAGCAAAACATACCTTGTCAAGAAGTCGGCATAATCTTCGCCAGTCACTTGGCCTTCGAAGTACCGAGCAGCAAGATGATATTTGTTACCCTTGGGTGCCTTTGAGGACAGCTCGTCTGCCTGCTCCTTCAATAGCCGGAGAGCATAGGCTTTGTCGACGGTTTGGCCTTCAGCGGTCTTCACTCCGTGTTTGACCCACTGCCACAATTGCGATCGTGAGACTTCGGCCGTTGCGGCATCCTCCATGAGGTAGTTAATCGGTACACAGCCGACGCCCCGGAGCCAGCCCTCCATGTATCCAAGACCAATATTGAGGTTCTTTCTGATGCCATCCTCTGTAACCGTGCCAGGCATGTTCATGTTGAGCAGATCGTTCTTGGTGACAGTGACGTCCTCACGGCGTTTGAAGAGTTGGTTCGGGGTGGGCATGTGCTCGTTGAAGACCTCAGCAGCAATAACCGCCAACGCAGGGTGAGCGACCCAAGTGCCGTCATGGCCGGCGCGGACCTCGCGAAGTTTATCTTGACGGACGTTGTCCATGGCCTTTTCGTTGGCCTCCGGGTTGTCCTTGATGGGGATCTGAGCAGCCATGCCGCCCATTGCATGCACGCCACGGCGGTGGCAGGTCTTGATGAGCAGCCGAACGTAGGCGTCCATGAAGGGGACAGTCATTGTGACGGCGGAGCGATCGGGAAGGACAAAGTTGGGATGCTGGCGGAACTTCTTGATCACCGAGAAGATGTAGTCCCAGCGACCGCAGTTGAGGCCGGCAGAATGGTCGCGGAGTTCATAGATGATCTCGTCCATCTCGAAGGCTGCAGTGATAGTCTCAATCAAAACAGTTCCCCGGATGGTGCCTCGAGGCATGCCAATGTAGTCTTGAGACAGATTGAACACATCGTTCCATAGTCTCGCTTCCAGGTGTGACTCCATCTTGGGAAGATAGTAGTATGGGCCTGTGCCGCGCTTGACCAGTTCAAACGCATTGTGGAAGAAGTATAGACCAAAGTCGAACAAGGAGCCGGAGATGGGCTCCCCGTCCACTGTAAAATGCTTCTCTTCCAGATGCCAACCTCTGGGTCTGGCGATAAGCGTCGGCAAGACCCTGTCTGTGCGTAGTTTGTACTCTTTCTCCCCCTGCTTGAAGTCGACCTGCTTGCGGATGGCATCGTAAAGGTTGACCTGGCCTGAGACTTGGTTGTCCCACGTAGGGGCTTGTGCATCTACCAGGACCGTCAGAAGCTGCGATATCACCTTTGACTTTTGGAACCTTACCCTCGAAGTCTGCCATATAAGTCCATACATTGCTGTTCAAAGCATTGACAACCATCTTGCGGTCGGTGGCTGGTGGATGGTCAGGTTCCGACTCAAATTCCTCGGGATTGCACCAACTTACGTCCTGTGATCTCAATGCGACGGTCCACCAAGCCCGGGGCAGGCGGGGCTCCTTTCCAGGCATCATTATCGCGAATATGCTTGGTCTCCGGCAGAAAATCGGGCAGGTTTCCCTTGTCAAGCTCCTGCTGACGGATCACTCGTCGCTGAAGCAAAGCTTTACGGGTGCCGTTGAAGGTTCTGTGAAGGAGGGCAAGAAACGCGGTGGCCTCCGGCGATAGGATCTTGCGATATTCTGGCTTCACGGCTCCATTGATAGCTACGCCTTCGTTAATGGTTTCGATGCTCGCCATGATGAAGATTCGTGGAAATTTGAACCAAAGTATAGCAGAAATTGATAGTCGGGAGGATGGCTCTCGTCGAGCAAAGGGAAGTCGAGGAGACTGATATAATGATATACGTCAGAGCAGCTCCCAGCTCGAAAGCGTTAGGGCAAATGCGCGCCCGACGAGATGTGCGCGAGGAGATGTTGCCGTTGCCACAGCATCCAATCACTGCTGTCCCTGTGGACTCCGACGAACCCGCTAGCGACCACAAGAGCCGGGGATGTGGATGAGATGAGCTCAAGAATCAGTTGACGACGCCAGTCAGTGTGGGGTAACTGAAAGCTAGACATCATCAAACATCCCTGACGTCTGTCCCTTTTTTCCGAGCGTTGCCTCAAATCTGTTGTCGCGGTTGGCACTCCCACATGTCCAGCGGCTTGTGCTGGGATGAGTTGGCAGGGCCAGAGATTGTAACGCTGAATGTACCTAGTACTGAATGTGACCAGTACTGTGATAACGGGCTGGTTCAGCAGGACTTCCTGGTCAAACAGACACAAAGACATGCCGCCAGCCCTAAGAAGTGCCGAGGTTCAAGGTCATTGCCAAACTGGGAGTCCCGCCGTCGTGCGGGATCTTCCATTGGCACGGACAAGCGGCGAAGCCCGATTTGCTCTAAGTTTTCGGCCCTCCCTCATCAACACAGATGGGTGACAGTAAGCGCTGGATTGGGTACGATCTCTGCACACAACGGAAAGTGTGGAGCGACCGACTGTAGAAATACCATTCATTCTCCAACGACACGACTCTATCACCTTCATGGCTTTTCTGGTCCGAGCACATGCATAAGCTACTTAAGAAGTTTTCATACATGCATAACCTGTTCTCGATTGGCACAGAAATCTTGCCTTCTGTTCCGGTGTCAACCATCCCACGCGAGCTCAACTGTATTGCCATGCACCGAGACCAGGAGCGTCCGCCGCAAGAGGGTCGAATCCAATACACTGAGACACGTTGCCCAGCGGAACCGTTGCATTCTTCAGGTTGCCGAACACTTGGTAGATGCCTCGGCTTCGCGTGGGACAAGCCATGAAACCTGTGATTCCAAAAGGAGCTCCGATGGACATCAAAAGACGTCCAATGTATGCTCCGGGTGCCTTTGTATAAGTGAAAGGACATGAAATTGCTCCAGGTGGCATCGATACGCTATGAGCCTGAGTGTAGCCAAGCTCGCCTCTTTGGGTGACATAGATTTGCTGGCCGCCGGGAGCAAGAACGCCCTTGATGGAGTGTTAGCCTGTCATGATGTACCTGCCATCAGAGGTCCGCTCACCATGCTGCAGAGTGAAAGGACGGTGGTGTTGCCAGGCTGCGAATACCGGTTAGCATGCACTGATATTGTGGACTGATATGGAATCTGTCAATGTCGCCACTAACGAGGTTAACTTACAGGGCATGCACCCTGAGCCTCAACTTGTTCCGGGCAGTACGAGATGGTGTTGCCTCCCAACCAGAAGCGCAGTCCTGCGGCATTCATTGGGAGGAGGTGGATCTCGGAGCCACTCCGCGCGGCAGTGACTGTGAGCCACGAGGTTGGCTGAGTGAGAGGCGTGGCGTAGGTTGTGGTTGAGCTTGTTGTGGTCGAAGTGAGAGTGGAAGCGATGACAGTTGCAGTCAGCGTACTGGTCACAGTGACAACGTCTCTGATTGCAAGTGGGTCATCATAGTCAGCTTGATGACGAGGAGAGGCGCAGGCAACTGCAAGGAAGAGTGAAAAGGCGAGGAGAAGAAGCGAGTGCAGCATATTTGATGGGTGAGTCAATGATTGACAAGGTCAGAAGTGAGAGACTGAGTGGTGTACGGTTCAGTGACAAGAGCAAAAGAGGCTTCGGTGTGTTGAAGGGTATTTGAGAGAGAAGTGAAAGAAATGTGTTCCTTCCTCAAATCACCTTTGCGGGACCTCACAGCTGTATTCGTCGCACCGAGTGCGGCTTCCCGTGTCCTGAGACGGCGCACAAAGTCGATATCTGTCAATCGTTTCCTTCTCGGCTAGTTCTCGCTATTGTTTTGACCGTGACGACAGACTCATAGTCGGACGCATCTGATCGTTATATTCTCGGCTTTAAATCTCAGCCATGCCGGCTCCCATCCACAAACATCGCAACCCATTGACTTAGCTCCCATCAAGTCGTACAACATCCGGCCTGTCAAGTTTGTTTAAGTTTTGCAGGTCACTCTAACTCTGTGAGGATGTCTCCGGGCACCCACGATTTCTTCGAAACCCCACAAGTGCATTGCGTCGAGGCAGCGCCTTGCTTCTGTCGGCCGCCCGAATCGACTGACTCCCACTGCCGCTCACCTTCCAGTGGCCCTCAGCTCTGTTCTGTCTGGCTCCATCCTGGCTGATCCATGGCTCTGACCTTTGAGATGTCCGAGGAAGGCATCATGATTCCGCGACCTATGCCAGGCCAGAAGTTGCTCTTCCGTTGTCCCGGTGTAGAAAGCGGCGTGGTCGACTGCTCCAGTCCGAGCTCTTGCTTGGACGGCTTTGTGATTTTAAAATGCACTTATTGAGAGGTGTCCACCGCCCAGCGAGTGTGCGTAAGGTCATCTTTGATTATGCTCCGAGGGTTGATTTTCATGGAGGCAGAACAACCTAGTCTCCCTGGCCGCATACAAGGTGCAACAACAACAACAGGTGATCACCAAGGTAGCGGTCATTCGTAGATAGATGTCGTCATGGAACCCAGCTGCCGCCTGGAAGTCTCATCACACGGCTCCAGAATCCAGGTCGATTGCATCTCGGCCCAAGGCTTCGATGCGTCTCCGGCTATTCTGCCACCTGTCTCGTTGTTAGCGAAGAAACAGCAACAGAATAGAGCAAGGGCTAGCAAAAACTCTTGATGAAGACTCTGGAGCCGGGCATTCCATGTGGGGCGGACTTACTTGATCCATGACAATCCTTGCAGAAGTGAGTCTGCCAGATCATCCAGCTTCATCTTGCCAGCGTTTGCTGCTGGCTTGCTCGTAAAGTCCTTGTTGCAACCAGATACAAAGTCAGCGACAATCGGTTGCATCTCTTTTCCCACGCAGATGTTTGCGTCTGCTTCTCGGAGGATATTGCCTGCTAGCTGAATTTTCGCTCTCTTCACCTCCTGTCCAACCAGTTTACGGGTGGACGGACGCATACAGCCTTCAAGCCAATATCGATTGACCCGGGAAGGTTGCATGGGCTCCACACTCAAATGCAACTTTCGCTCCTCAATGATGGTCCGAAGTGACGCGTACAACATTCCCTCGAATACCCCTACCCGTATCGTCCATTCTTGAACTGCCGGCCCGCCTCCGGAGCGAAACCTTTGTCTCTCGATCAGAACATGGTTTGGCTGACAAGTTTGCAGCATGTAGTTGATGAGTTTGTACGCGTGCAACGCATAGTCGACGGGTTCAAATGACTCTTTCGAAGCCAAAACCTCGCTTGCATTGTCAACGCGGACTGATATGGGCACTGCAGTTGTGGCATCTAGTGACTCGGATACTGCTAGGCGACGCCATGCTTGCAATGTGGGTTTCGTGTACTGCAGATATTTCGCCGAGTTTGCTGCCTGTAGTGACGCTGTGATATGGGCGAACGCCAAGTTCCTGATCCCCATATCAATGCTCAAGAGACTTAAGTCAGAGGCGTCGCTTCCATCCTTGCTTGACACACTCGTCACTGCCCGTCGAATACCCTCGATCCGGACTGCCTTCGTGCCGCTGCATGGTGCGCCGATTGCGATGGCAAGTCGATGTAGCTTCGCAGTGGTGAGCGTGTCGAGCCATGGCTTCGCAACGGGCATCACAGGTACAGGTCAACCACCAAATGTCTCGATCAGTTTTCACATTTTGAATTTAAACCAGCACGAAGTTCAATAAAGACGCGCACTCAACGCGCTGCCGAGAATCCTGAACGCGCAATTTGGCCAAGACGCGCGAACCGCGTCACCAAACTTGTTTCTCCAAATTGCGTAGTTCTAAACAATCGATACTTATTCCTTTTCGCCTTGCCACTTCATCAAATTACAATCTGCTAGAGATGTCGTACGCTCGAGACTCTACACGACGAGCACCACCCTGTACCTCACCTTACCCTCTTCCAGCTTCTTCACGGCTTCGATGATGCCTTGCCTTGTCATGGGGAACTTCTCAATGACAGGCTTGATATCGTGCTTTGCGCAGAACCTCAACATCGCCTTGACCGATTGCGGATGCGCTCCTCCGCTCCTAATGAGACTGTAGCCATACAACACGAATGGGAGGGCAGGGACTGGAATGTTGTCCATGCTGATGGTGAGCGGAAAGATCTTCGCAAACGGCGCAAGAATAGGCAGGTACCTGTCCAGGATTAGCATTCGCTCGATCAATTCAGTTTCTGTCGGACTTACAGAGCGAGATCAGGCAGCACCGAAGTCGTGATCAACAAGGAGTCCACAGGCTCTACCCCTTCGAATTTGGTGACGCCCTTCGTCGCATAGAAATCGCTCGCCCCGAGCTGGAACGCCTCTTCTTTCTTTGATTCGGTTCCGCTGAAGACCACGGCTTCCATACCCATCTTCGATGCCATCTGGATCGCGAGATGCCCCAGACCTCCAATCCCCAGGGAAGTGTTACTTGACCGCAATCAACGCTTCGAACAGCGCACTGACCTATGATACCGATGCGGTCGCCTGGCTTGAAGCCATGTTCATACAATGGGCCCCAGACAGCTGGTCACAAAGGTCCTTAGCACGTCATCGCTCGAGTCGGTGCTGGATACAGGGAGGAGGGGGCTTACTGGCGCCACCACACATCAATGGTCCTGCGGACTCGGAAGAGATCTCATCCGGAATTTTGAATAGGGCCGACACATCCCAAGCCACACCACTACCGAAACAACCTTGGTCCAGATTGGCGATCCCAAATCGTGCGCTATTTTGACACTTAAAGTGCTGGCCTGAGTTCGAGGTTAACTCCAGAACTGGCGCAATATTGGCTACGGTCTGGGTGTGGCTCGCTCCGGTTATGGTGGTGCCTTGTCGCGAGCTCCTTGTGAAGATTATGCTAGGGAAGAGGGAAATATAAAGTCACTCACCGGTAAGACACGGCTTGCAATACCCACAAAACCGTCTACTTTGCTGTCAGCCTTCAAGAACTGCACCGGGGACAGTACAAAATTCGCAACGGCCAACACCAGCTACGCGCATTGGGTATCACTCACTGCATCCACTGCGGACTTAGATAGCCTTGATCGACGTTAACAACAGTGACGACACTGTAAACCCAGGTCCTCTCAAGGGTGTGGGAGTACTCACACCCATACCAACACGATCACCGACTCTCAAATCTGATATCTGCTTGACAAGGCTTCCGATCTCCTTGATTATGCCCACACCTTCGTGGCCAAGGCCCTGTTCTGCATGCTTGTAATGCTCATCCGTCTGCATTGTCAGTCGAAACTTACAGGTAGCATCACTTCGAGCACAGGGAAGGCTTACACCGCAAACACCACAATGCGATAGTTCGGTTAGAGCCTGGGTCGGACCAACGTCCCTGTGCCCTCTTGCCTCAACTATCTCTCCGGATTTGGAGCCTTTGAAGACGGTGAAGTCGATACCCATGGTTGGCTGTGCAAATTCTTCTCTGGAACAGTAGGCCAACAACGAGAGATAGGATCGACTCTGGAAAGATTCATGAGGTGAGAGAATATCTATCTATGAGCCTGTTTATATTGTTTCTCTCTGAGAACTATTTACCATGGTGGCAGGCGACTAGATGTTGCGCCCGCCACCCATACCTTCGCTAATTGCCGCATTCGGCAAGAGGAAATTGATTGGCGAGCGCAGTCGGATATCAGCAGTTGGCTTCTCCCCTGACTAAGCCATCCGACGATTCTTCTACGATTGTGCTCTTCGCAGCAGCTAGACCAGATGCTCTTCAAGGAAAATGCCATGTTCGAGCGGAGCAATGTGGCCTGCAACCAACTGTCATCGCAGGAGGCGATCTGATTACTACTCATACGGCTGTCTTGGTGTCCAGTCTTAGCCTGCAGCAACCTGAAAAAAGCCAGCGCGATATAGAAGAGGCTTTGTGCAACTGCGAGTTGCTGCGGTTGGGCTGCTTAGGTAGTACCGAGGTCACTGCAACAGCGCCTCCCGTGACTTTCAGGAAGCTGAAGGGGTTCGACTGAAAAGGCTTACAGCGAAGCGAGCTGTCGGCATTGTCATAACACCAGATCTGCATCGTAACGACAAGGTCAAGACCTCCCCTGCAGTTGTCGCAGCTCCTGCAAAGGAGGAATATCCTCAAGCATGCCAGGTTGCAATTTTCCCCACAAAATTCCAGAATTGGGTTTGGGTACAGAGCCCTGGACCTCTATGGCTTGCGTGGGTGTGATGATATGATCACAGACAGTGTCAAAGACCTCCGGCATTAACTCTTCATCCAGGACTTGGCAGTCGTGAACCACGGCAACGCAAGGGACAGAAGAATGGACAACGTGGATGCTACTCAGCATGGCCCATTCGAGATCGAAGAAGCCGTGTCCCTTTCCAAATCGGATGCCAACTTGATTGATCGCCCCCGTGCCCGTCACCATCAAATCCACACGAAGGTCAAGCTGTTGCATTTCAGCAAGTGTTAAATGTCTCCCAAGTCCTGGCTTTTCCATGGTGTCTAGGAGGCTCGCAAGCTTTCTTGCCTCAGGTGTCGTGATGACCACTGGATCCAGCAACCAGAACCCCCTTCTGAGGGCATAGGTGGTTACCAGTACTTTCTTGCCATCCTGAAGAGCTCGGTACCGAAGTCGCTCAAGACAGTTGTCTGGGGTTATGAACACCACTTCGGCGTGGGTATAGCACGGCAGGGAGGCTAGTCGCTGAATGGCAGCGTCAGATCCATGGAAATCTGCGATGAAGCTGCAGAAGTCAAAGTGGAACCGCGAATCTGGAAAGGCGACCTCTCGCAGTCGTGGCCAGACCAGTTGTCGGATACTGTTCTTGTGATCGGTGGCCATGGCTTCCCTTGAGGCTACTAAACTGTCAGCTCCTTTCTCTCGGCGATGCACCACAGGAAAACGACTCCCAGGAATGGACTGTGCTAGTCATCCATTTCTGACTCGGATATCACATTGGAAGCCGGCGAGGACAGCGAGACCGGAAGAGCAACGAGCGTCTTCTCCGCACATCCCCCCCATCCCTCATGTCCATGTGGAGAATGATCCACTATCACATCCACCGTGCCACTCCATCCAGGAGGAATCCAGCATTTCAGAGATACCCAGGTATATTCAGGAAACGGCAACATGGAGCCGCTAATCAGGCAGGTCGGATGCTCCCAGGCAGATGTACAAGGTACCGTCGATCGTATCGGGCGGCAAATGGTAGGTCCACGCATGAGGCACCATATACTCTTTGGAGAAAGAAGTTGCAGGAACTGGCCCTCGAACATAGACGCAGTTTGCTTCCACAAAGCACGATGGATTATGCCTGCCGATCGATCCACCACCGTCGACTTTGTCTCCTCTGAACAGCAGGCACGAGGCTGGTTCTCCACCCTTGGCACGCTTCATATACCGAACGGAGGATCCACGTACGCCAACTGTATTCGCTAATAAAGAAACTAGCTCTCGACATTGGCAGCACACCGGTGACTATCCGTTCATGTCCCTTCAAGTGGAATAGCATTGACCCCATGCGGATCCCTAACCTCGGTGATGATGAGGCTACCTGCCACGACCGATATAAGCTGGTAGCATCAGCTTCTCCACGTTCTTCAGCCCCAGACCTCGCAGTTCACGGTGACAAAATCGAATCCTGGTCTCCCTGGTAGCAACGATGGGTGCCTTCATCACACTCCGTGGCCGTAAGCTGTATTGGCTGATGAAATTCATCTGCGGTACTAGTTTTATGGTAAGCTTCGTGTTGCGGGCAGGCGATGCTGGCCACACGGCATTCCCCTGGGATTCTGACCTTGCCATGATACTGACTTGACGGGGTCCATAGATGTACGGTTATGACGCTGGTGTTTTGGGAGGCGTCCTCTTGCACAAACCGTTCCTGGACGCTATCGACAATCCGACGGGAGAATGGGTGATTCCCTGGATCTCCAGCTCCTATTCCTTGTCGGCATGCATCACCTGCGCGATTGTGGCGACATTTGCATTCAAAATCGGTCGGCGGGGGACCATCATCTTGGGCAACGTAGCTGCTGTGGTCGGTTCGGTCATTCAGTCGACCGCTAACTCGGTTGCACAACTCACTGTAAGCAGTCGATTGACACTCTCGGCAATGTACTTGAAGGACTGTTTCCGAGTCCTTGTCTCCTCAGCGAGAGTTGCTGACGTGGTGTCTCACATAGGTCGGCCGAGTGATCACGGGCTTTGCTATCGGCTGTATTTCAAGCGCTGTCCCTACTTACCTTGCGGAAACCGGCGTTGAAGTCGGCGACCGTGGGCCAGCCAATGCCTTCAATGCGATAATGCTGATTTCCGGCGTCCCGTTGGCCTATTGGATTGACTATGGCTGTACCAAATCCAATGGGCAGTGGAGCTGGCGGGTTCCCATCGCGTTCCAGTGCATATTCGCTATTATCGCAGGAGTCTGCATGTTCTTCCTCCCCGACACGCCCCGTTACTACTACGCCAAAAATCGGCATAGCGAGGGGGACGATGCTCTGGAACGGTTGAATGATGCGGCCATTCAATCTGAACAAGTGCAGCGAATCAAAAGAGAGATTCTGCTTGCCATCGAGGCAGAGGATGAAGCGGCGTCTAGCCTTCACTGGAGAATGTTCCTCACCTCGGGTATCATCGACCGCACACCAATGAAGATCATCCGAAGGTTGTGCATATGCTTCTGGCTCCCCATGATCAGGGAGTGGATGGGTAGCAGTTTAATGGCCTATTACAGTGAGTTATCCCAGTCAGTTCGGTGCTTATGCTAATTGCCGCAGGCTCGGTCATCCTCAGCAGAGTCGGGGCTCGACCTTCCCTGGTCAGTCTTCTTGCCGGGGTGCTGAATATCTTCTTCGCTCTCGGCTGTGTACCGCTGTACTTTACCATCGAACGAGTCGGCCGCCGCTCGGTGCTCCTCTACGGAGCGTGCGTCATGTCCGTCCTCATTCTCATCTTTACCGTGCTGCAGGCGGTCCCTGCAACGACTTCCATCCAGTGGGCGGGAATCGGCATCATCTTCCTCTTCCTCTTCGTGTTCGGGTACGCGTGGCAGGGCTGTGTCTGGCTGTATTGCTCCGAGATCGCCCCGCTCGAGTATCGACACATTGGCGGTGCTTTTACCGGGTTTGGCGAGTGGTTGATGACGTTCATTACCGTCTTCGCCGGCCCCATCGGTCTGACCAATGTGGGCTGGAAGTTCTGGCTGTGGGTGCTCAGTGGGAACCTCGTCGCCATCGCCTTTGTGTTCTTCCTCTGCCCGGAGACAGGTGGCAAGACGTTGGAGCAAGTGGATTTCTTGTTCAGCAAGAGTGAATTTGTGAGTGGCATGAAGAAGGCTGAGCAGGATGAAGAAGAAGGAGAGGAGAAGCGAATTGAGCAGCGAGTTGAATTGAAGGCATAGGTTGGTGAAAACTGCCATCAACCCCTGATCTCCGGTTGGTGCCGCCCGAAAGTGCTGGTAGTTCACACGCCGCACGAAGTATCAACGCAGCCCACAGAGTCCTGGCGGGACCGGCTTCCACGGGAAACTCAGCTTCAGTCGGGTGATCGGGCAGAAAGTCGTCCTCGTCCTCGTCCTTGTCCTCAGGTAGAGCCGCTCCAGAGGCTCTATCGACAAATTCCAGACCTAAATCGGCTCCAGCAGACCTTGTGACATGCTACTTGGTACGCAGCGACTTGAAGCTCAGTCTCTGCCGGCCCAGGCCCAAATGGCGGCTAGACATCAATACAATAAGAGTTCCGACCTGTCGGTGTGGCCGTCACGGTCCTTGAAACGCTGTGGCAAGCTGACACCTACGTCGCCGTGTTGCGGACTTTTACAATCACATTTCGGGACTTCGAACACAGCCCAGCCCACTCCGTGTCCAGTAGGTCAACAGTGCACAGGGGCGACGGGCAATCACAGCCATTCACCGTCTGCCCGTTCTCTCCATTAGTCCGTAGCAGCTTGACCATGTACGTAGGAAATGACGGTTCGTGACTTGAACTGTTTCGAGTCTCCCGACTCCCAGGTTATGCCGTACAAGATGTACTCATCGGGAGTATCTCAGCTCTGCATGGTCCATTTGAGTTCTGGACGTGCCCAGTTTGCTGAGTGCCGTGTCCTTGAGGATGGCCGTCCGCCTCTCGACGTCGATTCCGGCGTTGATCGCGGCGCTGATTCAGGCCTTTCAACTTCCTCAGCCGTTTCCGCGCATTGTTGCTCGCGGCAGTGGCCCCCATCTCGACTCTCGAGTCCTCGGCTTCGTGGAGAGTCCCCGGGTCTGTTCGCGAATGGGTGGGTCAAGCTGTAGCGGGTGAGTGCTGCCCCCCGTCAAAGGGTCGATAGATGATAACCGAAGGAAGACCGCTCGTGTGGTACCCGGATTGCAGACATGGTATTTACATAGGTACGTAGGTACGTAGGTGCGCAGGTATGCAGTTGCCTGTCGCGTCACCACGATCCGACCCATCCTGATCAAGTTGAACACCCTCTGCACGGGGTCAGCGAAGCAAGGAGGGCTAGGCGAATAGGCCAGATAAAGTGCAATCGTACCTGACGCCCGGGGGGCCATCCACCCGTACTTCAGCTGTGCGGAAAGGACTTTGGCGATGTCGTCCGATCGAAGACGAGGTAGATACAATCTGCCATTTCGACGACACGATTGCTATCTTTCGGGCTGTCGGTTGCATGTCAATCAATGTCCTTGAAGGAGGGCCGCATTCTTTCTTCTGGGGGACCGCCATCCCACCCACATCGTAGCGTTGTCTTTACACCGGGTTCACAGGACCACGCAAGTACGACTTTTGCGAGGAGGCGATTCTGTCTGCCGTATATTTGGGGCGGAGCGACTCAGGCTCGCCGTTCGGACGGAGTGTTCAGGGTTCTCGACGGAGATAAGGACCACCGAGGAGGTCTTGCACGATACCTTGGCCAACCTGCGCTTTGGACCACTTCAAGTCCTTCATCCGGTCGGTCTGGAGTGCCTATCTGCCGTGAATTTGTGCACAGATGGGCTGTCGCTAGCGGAGTACGGACACTGATGTATATGTGTAGTTTAGATGCAAAGGACTCAAACGGAACGGACTGCCTAACTCGTAGCAGGGAGATCGAGCAGCGCTCTACTTGGGCTGACCCTTGCGTCTTGTGTCAACGAATTACTTACTATCCACTTCGTTCGGATCCTCGCCCTCAGTCCCAAAGCAAGCCAAGGACATTCTTCTCGGATCACGGTCACAGTCACGGTGACAGTGACAGTGCAGTACCGGTGACAACGACAACGACAACGACGGCGACAGCGACGGCTATGTTACATGGCCGCTGGATGCCGCAAATGATCGATTGACTGACTGGCTGACATGTTCGACCCGAGGCTTACTGTATGGAGGGACGGACGGGATCCTGATATCAATCGTCGCCCATCATCCCCGCACTCGCGAGTGATTGATATTGTATGTACATAATGGTACATACATCTGTCCATCCGTCACTTCTACTCCAACACGGGATTCTGTATCAACCTTTTCCTCACCGGTATTCATGCTCTTGAACAGAACCTACAGTCTTACAATCTCGCCTGTTCGATCCCTTCCCATCTACCTCAGGCAAACCCCACCACGGACATTCAGTGTCAACGGCACCTGGAGAATGTCGTCGTCGTCAGCAGCAGCAGCGGCACAGTTTCCCCCACCCCAGCTCAAGGCCGCGGCCGAGGAAGTCGCCTCCCTGCTCAAATCACGCGGCGAGACCGTCTGCGTGGCCGAGACGGCGGCGGGTGGGCTGATCAGTGCGGCGCTGCTGGCCACGCCGGGCGCGAGCAAGATATACCGTGGCGTGCGTGTTTTCCCATGTTTTCCAGCTCAGCCTACATAGCTCGGCTCGGCTCAATCCAACAACGGCGAGGCCTCTACATATCTGGAGGACAGTCAATGTCCCCTGTGACGTTCTTGAAAAATCCCTGCTACGACGGCGAGGGGCCTCGGGTGCTACGGTGGAGGCTAACGGACTCTGCTACGTGTGCTAGGGCTTGACGCTGTACACCTTGGAATCCCGGATCGCGTTCGCCGGCTGGCAGCAACGTGACATTGATGTCTATGACGGGCCGACGCCGACACTGGTCGAGGGACTGGCGCGCAGTGTCAGGGACAAGTTGGACGCGACGTATTGCATTGGCGAGGTATGTCCTCTGTCCTCCATCCTCTGTCCTGTTCGTGCGAGATTTGGATCTGTCATATGATTTGACGCTGGTATGATATGTCGCTGTGTACGAGAACCGTGTCAACTGACGGCGTTACATAATTTCTGTGTGTCTAGTCCGGTACGTATCTGCGTGTGTGTGCGTGAGAGTCTGTGTCACCCACTCGGGTCTATTTACTTGCGTTGGGGACCCATCGTGTTCCTTGTCTGGCAGGATATGTTTTGTTGACCGCCGGTGCATTGCATCGATAATAGGCACCGCTGGCCCAACCGCGTCGGGTGACAAGCCCAATCGACAGCCGTGAGCATCCCCCTTTGTCCTTGTCCCCCGTCCTCGCCTTCGTGTTCCTCTTGGGCGTCGATCTCGGGAGTAATATCCGCGTGCTCCGGCTGCCTCTGCCTGGAAACGAAAAACAATTCAAATCATCTGACGCGCTGGAAACAGGTCATACGTGGCGCTCGCGGTGGCGAGCCAGAACGACAGGACGAGCAAGGAATTGAACACCGGCCTGGGCAACGACAGGCAGGCAAACATGGTGGCTTTTGCAGTGGAGGCGCTCCGTCTGGCCAAGGACTTCATCGAGGGAACCAGCAGTGGAGGGAAGCTGTAGGGGGAGACAAGGACAGAGAAGAGATGCCAGACACCCCAACGTTTGTGCAGTGTGGTGTGTTGAAAGGTGGCGTGCCGTGCAGTGCAATGCAATGCCAACGGCTGTAGCTGCTGCAGACGATGCTACCGGTTCTGTTTGCATTCCCAGAATCGCAATCCTGTAGTCGTTTATCTTGAACTCCCGTTTCTCGGTCTTGTGCGGTGCGTTGGCCTGGGACAGGGCTGTGACTTGGCTTGCTAGGATTCTCCTGCATCCGCATCGACATCAAGCTCGGTCAGCGTCGGGTCTCCGAAAGTGTCGCTCGACGTGCATGATGGGGTCGGTCTCACCCAGAAACTCGACTCCGGCTTGGGGAGCACGAATGGACTTTTCGGATGCCATCTTGCTCGACGTGCTCACCTGGCAGGGGGGAAGGGAAGATGAAGGGGCGGAGTCGACACATCACATCACATCACATTTCATCTCATATCATCTCATTTCAGTTGAGTTCAGTCCGGTCCAGTCATTCATGGTGGCACATTCTCTCCCTCCCTCCATCCCTGTCTGTGTGGTCTGTGTGACGGATCATGTTGCGCCTGTGTCACCACACCAACCTCCCCCGCGCTCCACCACGCCATGCGACAATCGCAACGGCAATCGCAATCGCCAGTGCAAATCGACCTGTCAATCTCTGATCAAGAAATGTGATGGAATGACCGGACGGTTTCGCAGGGCCACGAGACCACGAGAGCCGTGCGCCGTGTCAGAAGAGAACATCTCCGAGGGCCACCACACATGCCAGGCGTGGCATGGTTCTTTGGGTAAACCATAATGGTCATGGTGACGGTGACAGCGCTGCTGGTGGCTTGACTGTCCCGACGTCCGGGGGCCCTGCATCCGAAGATCGTCCCCCAAAACTTCGGATGTTATTTTGGCGGGCAGAAAGGGAAAAGCTTTGTGGCGAACCAGCCGTGAGGGACGCATCATCACCCGCGGTTCAGGGATTCGAGACGAGCCGTGGATTTCATCTTGTCAGCATTTTCGCGCCGCAGGGAACCTTCTGCGCGACGATCATCTATCAAGACCCCTAATCTGGCAATGCGGACGGTATCGTACAACCACGTCGAGTTCTTCGAGTGGGGGAGTCTCGACCTCACCTTCAAATAATGCTGCCTCACACACACGATTGAGTTTAGCCACGATGATCCCGCAAATGTGATGCACTGTGAGACTACGACACGCAGGGTGTCCAGGCCGGGGTGTCGTAGACATGAGCGACCTCCCCAAGACAAGAGCGGTCAGGGTTCGACTTGTCCTTGCAGCTTGCTGGCGAGATTGATCGTACCGTGCAGACGAAGTGAGGGATGTCCGCCCATCTCAAGGCGAGGAATTGCGACACTGCCTCCAGCAGTGCACATCAGACATCACCTTCTGTCGTTTGGGGTTCAATTGCGCCATTCTATCGTGTTCGTAGGCCTGTCCTGGCGGCGATCACTCACCAAAGCCCGCTGTCGGTGCTGTCGCCGCAGGTGGCAAGTACAGTAGCTCCCCCATGACAAAGCACGAAAATACTGCACAGTAGCCGGACGACAAGGACCATGCATATCAATGTGAGCGCTGGTAAGTGTACGAGTACCCAGTACTCGGACGAGCACACAGTCGAGGCAAGGCATCGCATCCCTGCAGCGGCGCACAGAGTGAGGCGACAGGCGGGTCTGGCATGCCTCGTATGCATGGCCTCGTATGCAGCATGGGAGAATGGGGAAATCGAAAGGGTTATCATCATCCTTTTCCCAGCGTGGTCTTCCAATTGACAAGCACGTTGTCTTGCATGGGCCGCGTGTCGCGGTGCAGTTGCAGTTGCAGGTGTGTTCACCAGTCCGTCGTCGGGGTGTATCAGTATCGTCGCATCTCGAGGTACGAGATGCCCGTCTACTGCAGCTCCTCCTCCGGCCCTCGCCATCTTCCTCGTCATGCCCCCCGTGCAGGCCCGCGCTTCCCCGTTTCCCAATCTCCCAGGCTGGCGATTTTCGCCCCGAGCGCGGATTTGCGCGGGCCAATTGGCGCAATGGCTCGCCCCCTTGGTTGTATTGAGGTTTCAGGTTTATTGTTTGATCTTCCTCGCTAGAGGCTGCAAGGGCCAGGAAACCAATAATGAGTGCGAATCGCTTTTTCGCACGCGGCCGCGCCGTCGTATGCCGAGGATGGATGGATGCCCATGATGGACCCCAGCGGATGCGGTCGCGCAGGGCGAGCGAGTTGCGAAAACCGTACTGGGTGCCATTCACTGGGCACTTACCCAGTACTTGTCGAAGTCAGGAGTGGTACCGAGTACGCAGTACCTCTCAGTTGACCTGCTGGATTGGTAGAGTAGAAAGTACACAATACTGACTGTCTTCCCCGTGCTCGTGCTCGGTACGCCGTCCTGTGTCCTGGTACGGGGATCCCTTGTTCCTGGGGTGCTCTCTTTTCCTTACCGAGGACTTCTTCCTTGTGTCCCGTCCCCGTCTTCCGCTCCAAGCTGGTCGTGCTAGTGGTGTCGGAGGCAGTCGACCAGCTTACCCAGTACTGTGTACACTGCACTTCCCACGCCAATTGCCTGGCTGGTACGTAGCACCGCCCTTCTGCGGATCCGAAAGTCGCACCATCGGGCTTGGTGGATGCTGCGCAGATTCCCACGTGGCAGTGGCTCTGGAGTTACGTACTAGCAGCATTTACGTACAGAGTCTCATCACGACAAATCCTCTGAGTTTCGGTATGATCTAATTATTGTTTCTGTCTCCTGCGCTGCAATGGAACAATGGCACTTCCCTCAAGTCAGCTCGACAAGGAGCAATCGCAATGCGCTCCTGTGCGTGCTTGTTTGTGCTGCTGTTGTCACTGAAATCCAAAGGGGCGAGCCGATGTCAGGATTGAAGCTTTGTTGGGAGAGCACTAATGATCGTAGTACCCCCAGTATGGCGTAGGATGTCCTGGGTACGAGTGCTAAGTTCTGGGTAGATGACACGACTCCCTGACGGCGCCACACCAACAGGAAAATGAGAGCGGCCATTCCGTGGAGCTGCTCGAGGTGATATTTTCCTCAGAGTCAAAAGTCATGCCGATTCCGCGATGCCGTACCCAGTACACCGGGCACTGTGCCACAAAATCATCATCCACAAATCCGCACCGCATCGAGTCTGACTTCGCTGTTGTGTCACTAAGTGCTTCTTAGCGGGATGGATGGTGGGTGAGCTGGTTCAGCTTGTGAAGAATGAGAGCTTCGCTTGACCTTCGTAGAGACACCAATCGTACCTCATCGTCAGGATCTTGGATTTGGAGCTTCACCACTCCGTCCCCGAGAATGTGCTGTGCACTGACTGAGGCAAGCTGATTCGTCTCGCTTTGCTAGCCGGCTTTCTCGTCTCTGCTATCTGACAGGCTAGCCCACCGTCACATCCGCCAAGGACGGTGGCTGCTGATGCATTGCTGAGAGAGCCACTCTGCATACGAGGACCGGATCGAGGACGAGTTATCGGCCACGTTTTCTACCTTTCGGGGATCGGCGGAGAAGTCCTCGGGGATGCCTTCGAATCATGCTATGCAAGTGCTTGTACCGTGACTCGTCCACAGGAGAGTAGCTTCTCGACTCAGTTCCGTGCGCGCACACCAGACAATGAGCTAGTGAACGGCCCCTGTGGAAACGCAGTATTCTATTCCTCTCTCGGACATCTGGAGAGTGAAAAGTCAAGCTGGTATGATGCCATCGGCCCTTGGTTTCTTGCTTGGGGGCCACGCTCGCTTTGGCTAGTGGGAATCGTTTTCCAGGACCATGGCCCTGGGTCTCAAGCCGACACATCCCGCAAGTCTGAGATTCTTGTCCAGTGATCCAAGCGACGGCAAGCCGCAATTGACGATTCTTCAGCGTAGCCAGGGGGAGACGACGCCCACCTTGGCAGTCTAGCGGATTCCGTCAGAAGCCAGGCATCGACTTCGCAGAGGACACTCGCTGCCCTTTTCGGTAACTACCCAGTACGTGCAAGCCCAAGGATAGCACCCTGATGATTCGGAACGCCCATGCCGAAGCGCAGCCGGTTGGCGAATCCTCCTCTGACCGGTGCTTCGTGCCAGGACATGACGATTCGGTCATGGTAAAGTTGTAGTGAAAGCTGAATTCTATGACGCCCGCCTTGACAATTCCGTTTGCTCCTCCTTCTGCGGCAGTCCCAATGCACACTGAATCGGATCTCACGGTTGACATCACTGTCAGGCACAGATGGGTCTCCTGCTTCTCAGGACAGGGGCTACGAGTACGTAATCATTGCTCGGTGCAACCTCACCCACATCGTGGTGAAATTACTCGTACTGGGACTTGAGCAACGGTGGGATGTGGGACTTCTTCCTCATGCTGTGTCCCGTGCACTCTAGCATGGCTTATGAGGGGCTCTCTTAGATCGAAGAAGACGTTGCG